GGACCCGAGGGTCATCTAGCCCAACCCGCCCCCTGCAATGAAGGAATCTCAGGTAAGGCATCCATGACAGATGGCCGTCCAACCTCTGCTTAGAAACCTCCAAGGGAGGAGAGTCCACAACCTCCCGAGGGAGACCGTTCCACTGTCAGAACAGCTCCTACCATCAGAAAGTTCTTCCTGATCTTGATCTCCGTGACTTGAAGCCATGGGTTGGGGTCCTGCACTCTGGAGCAGCAGAAAGCAAGCTTGCTGCATATTCCACGTGGCAGCTCTTAAGGTATTTGAAGATTGCGGGTGGCGCTGTGGGTTAAACCACAGAGCCTAGGACTTGCCGATCAGAAGGTCGGTGGTTCGAATCCCCACGACGGGGTGAGCTCCCGTTGCTCGGCCCCTGCTCCTGCCAACCTAGCAGTTTGAAAGCACGTCAAAGTGCAAGTAGATAAATAGGTACCGCTCCGGAGGGAAGGTAAACGGTGTTTCCGTGCGCTGCTCTGGTTCGCCAGAAGCGGCTTAGTCATGCTGGCCACATGACCCGGAAGCAGTACACCAGCTCCCTCAGCCAGTAAAGTGAGATGAGCGCTGCAACCCCAGAGTCGTCCGCGAATGGACTTAACTGTCAGGGGTCCTTTACCTTTACTTATCATGTCTCCTCCTCTCAGTCTCCTCTTTTCTAGGCTAAGCATACCCAACTCCCTCAAGCTTAAGGCTTGGTTTCCACACATTTGATCATTTTGGTTGCTCTCCTCTGTACCTGTTTCCATAGCCATTTGTGACTAGTGGGGGGGGGGGCAAAAGATGGAGGACCTATCAAGCCAGCCCACCACTCATTTGCCCCCATCCTCTTCCTCCTTGCTGAGTTTATAGATCATAGAATTGCAGAGTTGGAAGGGACCCTGAAGTGGATCATCTAGTTCAACCCTCTGTAACGCAGGAATATGGCAGATCCCCCCTACAGGGATCGAACCTGCAAGCTTGGCATTATCAACACTGTGCTCTAACCAACTGAGCTATCCAGGCTGAGCTCTATAATGGCAACACTAAGGCTGAGGAGGAAGAAGGTTGCAGCTGGTGCCGCCCCGTGGACAGGATGTAAGGAGGCCAGTTAGGTGGGCGCTGGCTGAGGTTGTGGGTCATCATTGTCCCATCTGCCCTAATGGACAAATCTCCACAGTGCGGGGCTCTAACTGTGTCCTAATTCCTTTCTGGCTCCCCTTAATCTGTCCATGCCTTTCTCTGCATGTTCAGGAGATGCCAGTGCATTGTGTCTTGTTTGTGTCTTATACAGCCTGATCCCTGTAACCCCCTCCCATGCAATCTCTCCCAGTCCTTCACAGGCAAAGAGACGGCTTATTCCCCAATCGCCTCATAGTCCCTATCCCTCCCTGCCCACCCCCCTGCTCCACCACATTCTCCTGTGTCCCCCCCCCCCATGAATGGCAGGTAAAGGGATATAGATTCAGCTCAGCCAAGATTGGCTGCTGAAGGATGGCAGGGGGTGGGGTGGGGGGAAGAAAGGGAGAGCGGGGGGGGGGGGAGTTAGAGCTCCATCAGTGTCAGTTTCAAAGGCGAGAGGGATTAGCTACCCTCCCAACCCCATCCCCCACGTGGCTGTCCTCCCCAGATGTTGCTACATCTGGATCCCATTCCCCTGGCTCCCGGCAGCAGCTGCAGGATTCGCAGGCGTCACCTGATGTTTCCCAGCTGCCCCTGGGGTGGGATGGGGCGGCGGCGAGCGTTTGAGTTAAAAAGGTGTTTCGTAAGCCTCTATCTCCACCCAGGAAGTGGCTTAAGACGGAATCAGACCATTGGTCTGGCTGGCTGCAGTTCTCCAGGGGTTCCAGACAGCAGTTCCCTCGGTCTAAACCACTGAGGCTCTTGGACTTGTTGATCAGAAGGTCAGCAGTTTGAATCCTTACGACAAGGTGAGCTCCCATTGCTCTGTCCCAGCTCCTGCCAACCTAGCAGTTCAACCTAGCAGTTCAAAAGCATGCCAGTGCAAGTAGATAAATAGGTACCACTGCAGCAGAAAGGTAAATGGTGTTTCCATGCGCTCTGGCTTCCGTCACAGTTTTCCTTTGCGCCAGAAGTGCTTTAGTCATTTGTCCACTGTCTGTGGACAAATGCCGGCTCCCTGGGCCTGAAAGCGAGATGAGCGCTGCAACCCCATAGTTGCCTTTGACTGGACTAAACCGTCCAGGGGTCCTTTACATTTCCCTTTACTTTTCTCTCTCGCAACCTTACACCGAAGACGCCTGGGATCGAACCTGCAACCTTCTGCATGCAAAGCAGAGGCTCTACCACTGAGCCAGTCTTTGGGTGGAAGTGGGTTGCTTGTGGCATGAGCTTAGACTTCAGGGCCAGCTCAGCATTACAGCATTTCAGTTCCAGGAGCAATACTTATTTATCTACATGCACTTGACATCCTTTCGAACTGCTAGGTTGGTAGGAGCTGGGACAGAGCAACGGGAGCTCACCCCGTCATGGGGATTTGAACTGCCGACCTTCTGATCGGCGAGCCCAAGAGGCTCAGTGATTTATAGACCACAGCGCCACCCACGTCCCTTCTTTACCTTCTACTGTATGGCATATTGTGGTGCTCCTTTCCATTGTCTGGTAGGGGGATTACGATCAACAAACGTAACCCAGATAGTTTTGCAAAGGTCTGACGATTATCAGCTTGCGGTAACACAGAGGCAGGATATATCACTCGTGGCACCAGCGTTGTGAGTTGCTCTCCCTGCCGAAATACAAGAGACCCCCATCGATATTGGCAACCTGCCAGCTCTTGACAACAGACCTGTTTAAACAAGCATTTCCCTGATCTCCTAACCCGAACCTCCTGTTTTAACCGCTTTAATGGACTGGCTTCCTCACACATTTTAATTGCAGGTGTTTATTTTAATGTTTTGGTAGGATCGTTTTATTGTGTCTTTCAATTACACACGTTTATGTTCTTTTCATAATTGGCTTTATACTTGTAAACTGCTGAGTAGCCACTTTGGCAATTATAAGTGGTATATAAATTAATTAAATCGTCATAAATGAGGGGTAGGTTCTGCATGATCTCTTGGGTGTCTTCCAGCGCCCTTGGAACATAAAAATAAAATAAAATTGTTCTTGATGTTATCATGTGGATTAGAGCAGAGGTAGCCAACTGTGCTGCATTCCAGATGTTTTGGCTTCAGGCAGCATGGCCAATTATACAGGATGATTGGCAGCTGTAGTCCAGAACATCTGCATGGCACCATGTTGGCTGCTGATGGATTAGGAACAAGAGCTGGGAAGGGCACTTGCATTCTTATGTTCTTTGCAAACTGGGTGGGATCCAGAGCAGGTGTTATGTAGAACCACGTCTCCATCCTGAATTCTTGGGGAGGAGAAAGATCGAGTGAGCTTTAGCCATGGGACAGAGATCCAGAACCTTCTGGATTTGGTAAAAAGGCAAGAGACATTGCAAGGTTCTCTGAAAACACAGAGCACCTGTTGCAGTGTATCCTTACCTCCTAATAGTTCTGTTCTGTATTCCTGTCAGCCAGCCATACCCTCCCTGAGGTAACTGGGATGACCAGCCTCAGACATGCTTAATTCTATTTGATGCATGAAGGGGTTAAGACCATAGAGCAGAGCTTTCCAGACTTTTCATGTTAGTGACACACTTTTTAGATATGCATCATTTCGTGACACAGTTTTACTAGCAAACCAGAGGTTAAGCTAACCATTTTCCAGCCCCGGGAGGAGCACGGGGAGCGTTTGCATGACACACCTACACACTGCAGCCGGCGCACTAATGTGTCGTGACACACAGTTTGGAAAGCTCTGCCATAGAATAAGCTGTCCTGCCAGGCTTAGCTCGCCTTGGGAGGGACTAGATAATCAACGTGTGAGGTCTGAGCTGCTTGCTCCACTTCAGACCACATGGCTCTCACAAGCCAATAATTTAGGAGCTTTCATCACTTTGACACTAAACTAACAGTTCCCAGGATTCTTTGGGGGGAAGTAAACCACAGAGCCTAGGGCTTGCCGATCAGAAGGTTGGCTGTTCAAATCCCTGTGACAGGGTGAGCTCCCGTTTTTCGGTCCCTGCTCCTGCCAACCTAGCAGTTCGAAAGCATGTCAAAGTGCAAGTAGATAAATAGGTACCACTCTGGTGGAAGGTAAACGGCGTTTCCATGCGCTGCTCTGGTTCGCCAGAAGTGGCTTAGTCCTGCTGGCCACATGACCTGTGTACGCCGGCTCCCTCGGCCAATAAAGTGAGATGAGCACCGCAACCCCAGAGTCGGTCACGACTGGACCTAATGGTCAGGGGTCCCTTTACCTTAAAGCGTGTTAAATGTATGGTGTGCCTCCCTCTTCTTGTTTGGCTATCACTTGTAGCCGAATTAGATTGTCTTCCATGAATATGGTCTTAACAGTGTGTCCGTAAGTGACTGTGGAGGCCAAGTTTGGATCCACATGTCCTTCCACAGTGGGGACATAGATTTCCGGGCAGGAGTTGATCACGGTGAGGATTTGCCAAACATGCCTTCCTATTATCGTCCTGAGTTCGTGTTTATGGTGTGTACACAGCCACTGAAACAATGGTCGGTTGGAATATGTCACAGAGGTGACAGGTACTAAACCCCCTGAGGATTTTTGCAAGGAAACCTGGGACTCCTCAATCTTGTCCAGGGGTCACCAAGGTTAACCTCGCCTGGACCGGTTCACTCAAGCAGAGATCCCTTCGTGGGCCAGATTGCACATGTGTGTGAGCACGCCCACCCGCGATTTCCAGCTTTTGCGTCTCCATAGACACGATTTCCGGCGCCGCAGAAGCAAGTCCCTGCAACATGTTGTGCCGGTTTAGCGCAGCGCGCGGGGACTCACCGAGCAGGCGGCTCGGTTTGGGGGCGGCTTGTGGGCCGCTTAAACAACCCCCGTGGGCTGTTTGTGGCCCATGGGCCTTAGGATGCCGGCCCTGATTTTGTCCATTGAAGAGTTTGTTTTTTTTTCTCCTCTGCCAGATGCTGTGAGTGGCACCAAGCCCTCAAGTGAATGACACCCCCGAGCATCTTCCTGTCCTCTGAGACAGAGACGAAACACTTTCTTCCGTGAGAAAGGTGCCTTCTCCTTGCTCATCCCGTGGAGAAGCAAAGATGCAGCCTGAGATCTGCAGACGTCCCAAGGAGCCTAGACTTCTGGGCACGTGAGCTGGGAGGAAGCACCATCCCCAATAAGGGACAGGGCGGCAGAAAGCAGCTCTCGCTACAGAAATAAAGGACCCCTTCCTTCCCAGGCTGGCTTGCGTCAGGGAGCATCACAGCAGGACGCCAGCCTGGAAGGTCATGATTAAAACCTGGGATCTGCTTAGCTGTGATTGAAGAAAGCATTGAACCCACAGGTAACTCCCATCCCCCCCCCATCTACTCCCATCACCATCAATTGAATTTACTTTTCCATGTATGAGACGAGGTTTTTTTCTTTAAAAGTTACATCCAGAAATTGGGGTCACCTTATACATGGATAAGGGATGCAGGTGGCGCTGTGGGTTAAACCACAGAGCCTAGGACTTGCTGATCAGAAGGTTGGCGGTTCGAATTCCCGCGACGGGGTGAGCTCCCGTTGCTCGGTCCCTGCTCCTGCCAACCTAGCAGTTCGAAAGCAAGTCAAAGTGCAAGTAGATAAATAGGTACTGCTCCGGTGGGAAGGTAAACAGCATTTCTGTGCGCTGCTCTAGTTCGCCAGAAGCGGCTTAGTCTTGCCGGCCACATGACCCGGAAGCTGTACGCCAGCTCCCTCGGCCAATAAAGCGAGATGAGTGCCGCAACCCCAGAGTCGGCCACGACTGGACCTAATGGTCAGGGGTCCCTTTACCCTTTTATACATGGATAGTGCATAGGGTGGGACATGGGATTGGTTCCTGCCGCAAGCCGGAAATCGTCAGCGGCTATTGGGTGTGTTGCTGCAAGGGTGGGGTTGATTGGCTACCGCTGTGGCAATAGGGTGGGCAATTTGTGGCTTTCAGCGTCAGGCAGACAGGTGAGCGATTTTCGGCAATCTCTGAAAAAAGGTTTAACAACTTTATGCCACCCCCCCAAAAAAAGCTCAAAAATTGGGCAATCCTCCCCCCCCCCAATAGCTCAACAACTCCTGGCAATATCCCCTCATTTTCTTAATTTTGAGTCCCCCAAAATAGGGGGCGTCTTATACATGGGGGCGTGTTATACACGTAAAAGTATGGTATATGTCACGTGCTGCCCAAATAGGCTTCTGGCAGTGCAGTTTCTAACCATGTCTGCCCAGAAGGAAGTCCTGTTGTAGTGCAGGAATAACATTGCAAGTACATTTGCAAAGCTAAGCAGGGTCTGCTATGGTTTCAAATTGGATGGGGGACCACATGTTGAAATTTCTGCATCGCCGTGGCCCTTGAAGTTCTCGTCCAGCTCTATGATTTCTGTTATTCTATTGAATTCAGTAGGTCAACAACTTTGCAAAAAGAAGCTCAGCAACTGTTTGAAATATGGCAGCCGTACCATAAACCCCATCAAATAGCTCTGTGCCCTGTCCAGCTGTTGCGCCAAAATACTTCTGACCCTGTTTTGAGCTAACCTAAAGGCAAATTCTGCCAGGATGTTTAATTTGCATTTTTGCAGCCTGTTTGTACTGTTTCACTCTGCTGGTGTCATTTTCACCTGTTGCTGTGGCAATATTTTTAAAGAGGTTTATTATTATTTTTGTGTGTAACACAATCAATATACCGCTCGTTTGTACAGTGGACGCTCGGGTTGCGAACGTGATCCGTGCGGGAGGCACGTTTGCACCCCACAGTGCCGTGTCACGCGGGTTGCGATTCAGCAGTTCTGCGCATGCGCAAAGTGCGATTTACTGCTTCTGCGCATGCGTGAGCGCTGAAACCCAGAAGTACCGTATTTTTCGCACCATAGGACGCAGTTTTTCCGTCTTAAAAACTAAGGGGAAATGTGTGTGCATCCTATGGAGCGAATGCAGGCTCCCTGGCTTCAGCGATAGCAAGGCAAAGCCTCCGAAGCCTGCGCTCCGGAGGCTTCCCGTTGCTTCCGCTGAAGCCAGGAGAGTCTGCTCTTTGAGGCTGGCGGGGGAAAAGCAGCGCTTCCCCCATCGCCAGCCCCAGAGGATGGGGGGCAGCAGGAAGGCACGCGACGCCTTCCCGCTACTCTCCAACCCTCCTGTGGGCTTTTGCGGGAGATGGGGGAATTCCCCAACCTCCCGCAAAAGCAGGCAAAAGCCGCGCGCTCTTTAAAGAGGCTCCGTGGCTTCTGCTGGCTTTTCTAGGAGGTGGGGGAATTCCCCCATCTCCCGCAAAAGCCCGCAGGAGCCGCGCACCCTTTAAAGAGCGAGCGGCTCTTGGGGGCTTTTCCCCAAGGAGGGAGAAGGGACTGACTGGCCGAGTCAGTCCCTTCTCCCTCCTGCGGGCTTTTGCGGGAGATGGGGGAATTCCCCCACCTCCCACAAAAGCAGGCAAAAGCCGTGCGCTCTTTAAAGGGGCTGCACGGCTTTGCTGGCTTTTCTAGGAGGTGGGGGGATTCCCCCACCTCGCAGAAAAGCCTGCAAGAGCCGCGCAGCCTTTACAGAGCGCGCAGCTCTTGGGGGCTTTTCCCCAAGGAGGGAGAAGGGACTGACTGGCCGTTTCAGTCCCTTCTCCCTCCTGGTCGAAAAGCCCGCAGGAGTCACGCGGGGCTCCTGTGGGCTTTTGCGGGAGGTGGGGGAATTCCGCCACCTCCCGCAAAAGCAGGGAGAAGGTCTTGGAGTAGCGCACAGGCTGCGTGCAGCCTGTCCACTGCTCCCAGAGCTGGGGGGGGGAATCATATTTTTTCCTTGATTTCCCCCCCTGAAAACTAGGTGCGTCCTATGGTCCGGTGCGTCCAATCGTGCGAAAAATACGGTAACCCGTTCCGGTACTTCCAGGTTTCGACGCATCCGTAACCCCAAAAAAAAACGCAACCTGAAGCGTCTGTAACCTGAGGTACGACTGTATTAAGATCTCTCTTGCCATAGGTAATAAACTGATCTTTTTTAAAAAAAGAAAGAAAAGATACTTATTCAAAGATATACAAAAATATATACCCATTATAAAGTATCTCTTTTATCATATACTACTGAGATAAAACAGCTACTTAGTCTATAAGGGGACGCGGGTGGCACTGTGGGTAAAAGCCTCAGCGCCTAGGGCTTGCCGATCGAAAGGTCGGCGGTTCGAATCCCCGCGGCGGGGTGCGCTCCCGTTGTTCGGTCCCAGCGCCTGCCCACCTAGCAGTTCGAAAGCACTCCCGGGTGCAAGTAGATAAATAGGGACCGCTTACTAGCGGGAAGGTAAACGGCGTTTCCGTGTGCGGCTCTGGCTCGCCAGATGCAGCTTTGTCACGCTGGCCACGTGACCCGGAAGTGTCTCCGGACAGCGCTGGCCCCCGGCCTCTTGAGTGAGATGGGCACACAACCCTAGAGTCTGGCAAGACTGGCCCGTACGGGCAGGGGTACCTTTACCTTTACCCTTAGTCTATAAGAGAACAAAGTCAGAAGGAAGAAAAGAGAAGGAAAGGAGAAACCTAAAGAAAGAGTACATGAGAAAAATAGTAATAATAAAATTATCCATTAAAAATAGTGAAAATAATGATGGGGATCCATAGATCTGTCTCGTTTTCCAAGCCCTTTGTCGGCAGGCGTGCAGCATTTCTGGAGACTCATTTCTCTCCCTGTCTTCCCAGGTCCCCGCTGCGCAGAGAGTGATGCTTGTTCTGTTCCATGCCATGGTCACGCCACTGCTCTGCGTCATCCGTGCTGCCCCCCTTCCCAGCGCCAGTACCCAGTCCAACGCCACCGATGTCCTCTGGGCCGAGACCGCCCTGAGGGACTGGGACCTCTTTTCTCCGCGAGTCACTCTTTCCAACAGCGAACCGGCAGAGCCGCCCTTGCTTTTCCTCATGGAGGACTCGAACGCCCAGCCGGCGCAGGCCGCAAACCGGACTCTCAGGTCCAAGCGGTCGTTGGACGGATCCCTCCGCCGGGGAGAAATGTCGGTGTGCGACAGCGTCAACGTCTGGGTGACCAACAAGCGGACAGCCGTCGACATCCGCGCCAAAACCGTGACGGTGCTTTCCGAGGTCCAGACGCTGACCGGCCCGCTGAAGCAATATTTCTTTGAGACCAAGTGTAACCCGGCTGGGGGCACGGCGAGCGGCTGCCGGGGTGTGGACCGCCGACACTGGATCTCCGAGTGCAAGGCCAAGCAGTCGTACGTGAGGGCCCTCACCATGGATTCTGACAAGATTGTGACCTGGCGCTGGATCCGAATCGACACCGCGTGCGTCTGCACCCTGCTCACTCGTACCGGTCGGACGTAGGGAGTACCGGGAGGCAGGCGACTGGTAATCTACCTTTGTCACTTTGGCTACTGAAGAGATGGAGCAATGGGACCGCTAGGCCCAAGATGGCCGCCCTTTGGCCAAGAGGCATGTGCGTGGTTCCCATTGGACAAGAAGAAAGGTGTGTGGTCCTGGCTGATTGGCAGGCCTCAGGCTGCCTTGTCTGGCTCTGCTTGCGCCCCCTTGAAGTCCCTGTCAACAAGATTCATCGTCGCAAACGTGGCCATTTGCTGGACGGGAGAGACGTTGTTGCTGCACTTCTACAGTGGAGAAGCGAACTTTAAGCATTATTGAGATGCAGCCAGGCAGACTTTGTGGACTGGAGGGGCCATGAAGTGGTCCTTAGTGGTCAAAACGTCATACCTATCACATGTGTCAGGGCACTGGTGTCTTGTGGGTGCTGCTTTAGAGTCACTCAAACCTGCCTTCGGCTGCCTCTCTCTCACACACACACCAGTGCTGCCATTGCACCCTTGTGGTGCACAGCGGACTCCAGAGTCCTTCCCTCAGCGCAGTCTGTGAGATCAGGGTTTTTCCGACTGCCTCCCCTCGGGGAACCTGTTCCATCTTGGCGCATTTGCCAAAGATTCCCTGCGTGTGCACGGCAGGTGGATCCTGGGGAATGTTTTAGGGCGTGTTGTCTGTACACGTGTGGGCACCAACCACGCCTGCCAGGCCTCGCCGCTGCTTCGTGCACACCAGATGTGCCGTCTGCACAGCCTCAGATGCACGCAGCCTCAATGCAGGCGCCGAATCTGCCGCTTTGCATGCGCCCCACTTTCCCTTCCAGCTGACGATTGGAGTGGGAGATCCATTGAATCTGAAGTCCATCACGACTGATATACCGTATTTTTTGCTCTATAAGACGCACCAGACCATAAGACGCACCTAGTTTTTGGAGGAAGAAAACAAGAAAAAAAATATTCTGAATCTCAGAAGCCAGAACAGCCAGAGGGATCACTGCACAGCGAAAGCAGCAATCCCTCTTGCTGTTCTGGCTTCTGGGATAGCTGCGCAGCCTGCATTCACTCCATAAGACGCACACACATTTCCCCTTACTTTTTAGGAGGGAAAAAGTGAGTCTTATAGAGCAAAAAATACGGTATTCATTGAGGAGCCTGGGATAAGCGTCTGAGAGATCCCTAGAGTTCTTTTGGAGCATACTTTTTTTGGGGGGGGGATTGCTAGGTGTAAGTTTCCTTCTGGAATCTCCCTTCCCTCGTTCTCTTTCCTCTCTTCATATTTATTACCTCCCTTCCCTCCAGCTACAGCCTGTGTCTGACCTGATCCTGTCGTCTTAATTATTAACTTATTTGCGTTCATTACTCTGGAGGGGGGGGGAATGATTTCTAGGAAAGTATGTGTGATGTCTGTGTGTGGAGGTGGGTGGGGAGGATTAAAAAACAAAAAGACATGTCTGCCTGCTGCTTGGATTTCCTGTGTCCTGAATGTCTTCCTTTTGGCTGGGGGGGGGCGGGCTCCTGGGGGGGGAGTAGCATGCGGAAAGCAAGACTCATGGGAAAGAAATGTGGGTGTCAGCCAGCTCCGCCCTGACAGCCCAAGCCTTCCTAGTAGCTCTCTCAGGCTGCATATACAACATACATCTAAAGGCACCTTTTGCACAGCCCCAAAAGAAGCCTGGGAATTGTAGTTCGCTCCATGCAGGGCTACAATTCCCAGCACCCTTAACCAAGTACAGTGGTAAAAAGGTAAAGGTACCCCTGCCCGTACGGGCCAGTCTTGACAGACTCTAGGGTTGTGCGCCCATCTCACTCAAGAGGCCGGGGGCCAGCGCTGTCTGCAGACACTTCCGGGTCACGTGGCCAGCATGACGAAGCTGCTCTGGCGAGCCAGCACCAGCGCAGCACACGGAAACGCCGTTTACCTTCCCGCTATAAAGCGGTACCTATTTATCTACTTGCACTTAGGGGTGCTTTCGAACTGCTAGGTGGGCAGGAGCTGGGACCGAAAGACGGGAGCTCACCCTGCCGCGGGGATTCAAACCGCCGACCATACGATTGGCAAGTCCTAGGCACTGAGGTTTTTACCCACAGCGCCACCTGCGTCCCTAGTACAGTGATACCTCGGGTTAAGTACTTAATTCGTTCTGGAGGTCCGTTCTTAACCTGAAACTGTTCTTAACCTGAGGTACCACTTTAGCCAATGGGGCCTCCTGCTGCTGCCGCGCCGCCACTGCGTGATTTCTGTTCTCATCCTGAAGCAAAGTTCTTAACCTGAGATAATATTTCTGGGTTAGCAGAGTCTGTAACCTGAAGCGTATGTAACCCGAGGTACCACTGTACAGTTCCTGGTATTCTTTTCAGGTGGGGAGCCATTAAATGTGTGGTGTGTTATCTCCACAAGCTGTGTTTTGCACATCCACACTATCATCCAGGGGTCAGTAAACTTCTTCAGCAGGGGGCCGGTCCACTGTCCCTCAGACCTTGTGGGGGGCAGGACTATATTTTGGAAAAAAAGAAAAAAAATGAACAAATTCCTATGCCCCACAAAGAACCCAGAGATGCATTTTAAATAAAAACACACATTCTACTCATGTAAAAACACGCTGGTTCCCAGACCATCCGCGGGCCGGATTTAGAAGGCGATTGGGCCGGATCCGGCCTCCGGGCCTTCGTTTGCCTACCCATGCTATAGTCCTCCACTACTGTGGCTTTGAACTTTGGATGGGGAAAGTGTCCTTTGGCCCTGAGCGCCACCTGATGGCTTGATGTGGAGTTGCAGGTCCTTATGAAGAGGTGGACTGCCTTTGGGCAATGGTCCCCAACTGTTTTAGACCTGTGGGCACATTAGCAAACCAGAGAAACCACTGTGGGCACCACATGCATGCCTGCAATACCCGCCACCCTCCCCAGCTGTAATCTCCATGAAATGCCCAAGCTGTGATTCGACAGAGGCAAGTGCCTCTATACAGTCGTACCTTGGAAGTTGAACAGAATCCATTCCAGAAGTCCGTTCGACTTCCAAAACATTCAGAAACCAAAGCATGGCTTCGGATTGGCTGCAGGAAGTTCCTGCAGCCAATCGGAAGCCGCGGAAGCCCTGTCGGACGTTCAGCTTCCAAAAATAGTTTGCAAACTGGAACAGTCTCTTCTGGGTTTGCGGCGTTCGGGAGCCAAAACATTCAAGAACTAAGCTGTTCGAAAACCAAGGGATGACTGTATACAGTGGTACCTCAGGTTACATACGCTTCAGGTTATATACGCTTCAGGTTACAGACTCCACTAACCCAGAAATAGTGCTTCAGGTTAAGAACTTCGCTTCAGGATGAGAACAGAAATCGGGCTCCGGCGGCACGGCAGCAGCGGGAGGCCCCATTAGCTAAAGTGGTGCTTCAGGTTAAGAACAGACCTCCGGAACGAATTAAGTACTTAACCTGAGGTACCACTGTATATCTAATAAATTCTGTCAGATTCTAGTTTAGTGCAGCCAAATAACTTCAGGCCCCTGGCCCTGAGGAATTCATGAAACTACCCAAATGTTCTCTTCAGCAGATTCTAGTTGGCCACAGAGGAACAAAGTCCTAGAAGACACCATATCTGGGTACTTTGACCTCTTGTTTGCTGTAGCCAAAAAAGAGAGAGCTCTGTTGACTTACGGTGGTCTGCAACGGCAGCACTGCGAATGTCATCAGAACAGAAAAGGGAGAGAGTGATAGAGCAAGAAAGGGAGAGGAAAGAAGAGTGAATCAAGAAGCAGTGGAGAGAACAGATCCCAGTAGGTAAAGGTAAAAAAAAATTACAAAATTAAGAAGAAAATTTCATGCGGTGCGGGTTGCTGTTGTTAACAATTGGGCCCTGGGTCTGGCAGAAAAGTTGGGAAAATCACGTTTTATAACAGGTGGAGGGATGGGCACAATCTGCACTGTTATTCCCTCTATTTGTGAAGTTCAGGAGGACGTACTGCTGGAGTGCTGGATTAGGGCCTGGGAGACTGGGCTTCAAATCCCTGCTCAGCCATAAAGTTCCCTGGGTGACCTCGGGACACTCGATATCTCTCAGCCTATCCTACCTCACAGGGTTGTTGAGAGCCTAGGAGCCAATTCCTAGGGACCAATATATCTTTGTCTCTTTCCCCACCCATAAAATATTTGAGGGGGCTGCCCACCCCCCAAGTTGGCACCCTTGGTTAAGATGGGGAGGGAGAGAACCATGTACAGTGGTACCTCGGGTTACATATGCTTCAGGTTACATACACTTCAGGTTACAGACTCTGCCAACCCAGAAATATTACCTCGGGTTAAGAACTTTGCTTCAGGATGAGAACAGAAATCGTGCAGCAGTGGCGCAGCAGCAGCAGGAGGCCCCATTAGCTAAAGTGGTGCTTCAGGTTAAGAACAGTTTCAGGTTAAGAACAGACCTCCAGAACGAATTAAGTACTTAACCCTAGGTACCACTGTATACATTACCTTGAGCTCTTTCGTGAAAAAGTGAGATATAAATGTAATTCAATTTTTTTTTAAAAAAAAAGAGGTATCAGCAGGTTTAGGGGAGCTCCAAGGTTTGCGAAAGTATGAAAATTATTGGGGGGGCAGGGAAGCTAGGATCTGCCTTAAATGCATGGGGTGGATGTGGTCTTTGGGGGGAACCACGTGCTGGCAACCTGTGTTGTGGATGGGACGTTTTATTGGCAGACGCATTTTCCCAGGCTTGCCTTTCCCCACTTCCTGCGCAGGTTCCCCATCATAGAGGAAGCCATGCTGCTTACTGTGGTCACCACATGGCTTTGCGTCGTCTCTCATGCCACCCCGCTTCCCAGCGCCACTGATGTCCTCAGCACTCATGCTGCTCCAGTCGGGGACGAGGAGTTCCTGTCTCCCCGTGTTGCGCTTTCTAGAAGCGAGCCGACCACCCAACCCTTGTCGGACGCCGCTGAGGTGACGTTGGCCGTGTGTGACAGCACAAGCACTTGGGTGGCAGACAAACATACAGCTGTGGACATCCGTGGCAGGAACGTGACGCTGCTCTCTGAGTTTCAGACGCCTCACGGCCGGCTGAGGCAGTACTTCTTCGAGACCAAGTGCACACCCAGAAGGGGAACTGCGGGCGGTTGCCGCGGGGTGGATCGAAACTACTGGATCTCTGAGTGCCAGACCACCCAGACCTATGTGAGGGCCTTCACTATGGATTCCAAGAAGACTGCTGCCTGGCGCTTTGTCAGGATAGACGCTGGATGTGTCTGCAAAATACGACCGCAGCAGGAAGACGCAGAGGAATATGGCGCTCAGGAGATATCATAACAGGCTTTGCTGGGGCAGCGGGCGACCCTAGGAGGCCTTAGCCACAGGTCTTTGGGGATAAGGGCCCACATCGCCTTCGCCTTCCCCTTTTGAAACGAATAAACAAATATGGCCACCACCCCCCATCTGTGCCAAGCGGTAGCCAGATTCCAGAGTCATGTTTCCATTGGGAATCGAGACGTGTCGGAGACGGTCATGTTTTTAAGAACAATGGCTTCTTAACACCCGAGTCTCCTTTGGAGAGCATTAGATCTCAAGAGGGGCTTGTTTCCCCAGCAACGCAGCACTGGATTCCCAAGGCACCGTGAACCCCATCTCCCTGCCCCTGTGCCAAGATGGCCTTCACACACACACCCCTCACCAAGTTCTACCTATCTCCTCCTCCTTGTTCCCAGAACACCTCTTGCCCCAAGCAACTCCTCACCTACCTGCTCGCTCCCCCTAGCCAATGCCAAGCCTAGTTTTGTGAAAGGGCACGTTTTTCCTGTGTTACATCACACCATAGGAGCCAACTCTTAGGGGCTAAGGGGGTCTTTGCCAATAAAATATTTGAGGGGGCCGGGGACCCCCAAAGTTGATGGGCATTGCCATTAAAATAGTACACATTGTCAGTGTTTGAAAAAGAAAAGGTTCTGACCTCCTTTTTACTCCTTTG